CGAACACCCATCTGCTTGGGACAACAAGCCACTCGCATGGAAATGAGGTCACTCTTTCGTTTGGGAGGCAGAGATGCAAAACACAGAAAATTATGCCAGGACGGTGGATTACTGATGCTGGAAATTCGTGAGCACCCAGAGGGGCTGTTAAGAAAAGTGCCTCTGGACAGGCGCGGTGGCTCACGCCTGTAAATCCAGCACTTCGGGAGGCGAAGGCGGGCAAATCACCTGAGGTCAGGAGTTCAAGACCAGCCTGGCCAACAATGGCAAAACCCTATCTCTGCTAAAAATATAAAAATCAGCTGGGTGTGGTGGTGGGCGCCCGTAGTTCCAGCTACTCGGGAGGCTGAGGCAGGAGAATCACTTGAACCAGGAGGTGGAGGTTGCAGTGAGCCAGTATCATGGCACTGTACTCCAGCCTGGGCGCAGAGAGAGACTGTCTCAAAACAAAAACAAAAACAAAAACAAAACAAAACAAAAAAAGAAAAGGGTCCCAGGCTCTGCGGAAGGAAGTCCAAGCCCAGTGCCAGACTGCAGGGTTTACGGACTAGTCTATCCTCTTCGGTGGCCTCAGATGCACGACTGAGCTCTAAGCCTCAGGGTTCACAGGGGTGTTTAGAAGTTACATGATATAATAAAACACGGAAATCATTTATACAAATATAAGTCATGAAAACACTGGCTATACCTACGAATTGCAGAGGGAAGTTTTCCTCCCCAATTACCAGAAGTGGATTCAGCTTTCTTGAAGGCATGGAGGGACAGCATAGGCTAAGCCAAGATTTAATTCTGTAGCCTCCTGTGGGCAAAGCAGGGAACCATGTGAATTCTGTGCCCTGAAGTACAAATCTGGAAAGGGAGGCATGCAGTGATCCATCACTTTCTGGAGTTCAGGATTCCCCACGTGGGGAGTGCATGCAGGCCTGGGGGAGCTCTGCACAGCACAAGAACCAGGGAACGGGGCACGCTGGGCTGTCATTGCGGGTTTTTGACACTGCCCAAAGTCTCTCCCCAAGAGGAAACGGAATTCTATCAATCACCGATCACCAGTAACTGCAGTTCCGTCAAACAGATGAGAAGTTAAAAATAATCCGACAGCGTTTTCATCCCGTTACGACTTCTTCCATGGCAAACGCTTTCATCCTTTGATTTCATAAAAGCAAACTTGCTGAGAGCAAGCTTCTGTGGTACTTAAAAAGTCTTAACTACTAGCATTTCTTTCTTTTAGGTAGAAATCATTTCCTCCCCGAGCCCAGGAAAACACAGATACACTGTCACAACTGTATTCTCCAAAATCAGCCATAAACTTATGTTTTACAAATTAGACAGCATTTTTTCACACATCCTGAGCTGTTAAATTAAAACAGTTATGAGTCCTCAAGTCCAGGCTCCAGAATTCCACTTTGGTTTATCTGGATCAAGGTTACTGTCAGGCCAGCTACCTGCCTAGATTCCAGACTCCAGCCTTTCTGAGGGCCTTTCCTTCCTGAGTTCTATTAGCAAAAGAGGTTATGCCAGACGTAATTTTCCCCTGAAATTACACAACCTCATCCACTTGAAACTGAGACTAAGCTGCTAATCCCACCTCTGTGAAGAGCCAAGATCTCAATGCATGGGTGGATTTGAGAGCACAGCCCCCTTCTGTCCTCAGAGGCTGCGATGAAAGGCGCCCAAGTGCTCTCCTGGCCCCGCCGCGCCCTCCACCTGCGCTCAGATGGCGCTGCTGAGAGCCTGTTGACCCCGGTCTGTGTGTTCCTGCGTGAGGGCTTCCTGGTAGGAAGGAGCCTTACGGCTTCTAAAAGGCCCTGAAAACCAGCAATAAGCCCACAAAACCCATCCTGACAACCCAGCCACCGCAGGGCTTCCCGGATCAGAAACCGAAGAGGCCTCAAGGGGCTCCAGTTCCACAGGGAGCAGCGGAGCGGGGGGAAGGGCCCAGCCGAGGGGGAGAGAGGGTAGCGCAGAGCCTGGGAGCAGGGCCGGGAGGCGTGAAGCCACCGAAGCCACTGCCTGCAGGGATGTTCGAAACAGACAGTAGGGAAATGACAAAACTTGAATGATACAGCAAAGGCGTCAGGAGTGGGAGGCAGAAATCGCCGTGCTCTGTCATCTCCTCCAGAACCGCCACGGGCAATCACAGGAAGCAGTTTCCCGCCAGCCCCTGCCAGGGAGACCAGGACCCTCCTCCAATGCCTGGATCAAGCTCGGCTGCTGCTGCTGGTTTCTTCCCTGTGGCCCCACACGGCACCTCATCTGCAGGTTTCTTCCCTGCGGCCCCACACGGCACCTCATCTGCAGGTTTCTTCCCTGCGGCCCCACACCGCACCTCATCTGCAGGTTTCTTCCCTGTGGCCCCACACGGCACCTCATCTGCAGGGAGAACCAGGCATGCCGGGCGGTCGGACGAGCTCTGCCCCAGGAACGGAGAAGCCAGCTCCCAGGAGGTGGGCTGGGTGATGCCTTCACAGCCCCCATCCGGCTCAGATGAGCCCCGCTGTGCGGGGGGGCCACGGTTCCACGCGCCCATCACCCAGATCCTGGAATCCCGCCCTACCAGTCCACAGTGGCACCACATGTGGACAGCTGGGTGCCCCCTGCCTCTCTGTACCTCTGGGCCACGTGGGCTGAGTTCTAAGAAGTACATCTGGGATTCGTTTTGGGCTGGAGGGTGGGTGAAGTACACACTAGCTCGGAAACTACCTCCAGTGAGCTCCGCCTGAGACTGCGCCGACTTTAAAACTTTATAAACATCACCACTCAGAGACAATATTTTGGATGTGATTTCTCATCAGTATATTTCTCCTTCCATGAATCATGCCTGGGAAACCACCCACAGCACTTATCTGGTTGGGACATTGTTTTTCAGCATTTCTATGTACTGTTTCTAGAGGTTAAAGCTATTAAAATTTTTTTGTAATCCTACAGTTACAAATTAAATAATCCCATAAAAATGCTTTAAAAAGGTGAACTTTTCTGTTGTAAAATATTCTTCAAAAATGTGCAACTCTTCAAGAGCACGTAAATAATTAAGAACCACAGGGGTCTACATACCAGGACACCTGGTGTGGATTAAGCAGATCTCCACAGGGGTCTACACATCAGGACACCCGCTGTAGATTAAGTAGGTCTACACAGGAGCCTACACATCAGGACACCCAATGTGAATTAAGTAGGTCTACTGCAGGGGTCTATACATCAGGACACCTGGTGTGAATTAAGTAGCTCTACATAGGGGTCTACACGTCAGGATGCCCGGTGTGAATTAAGTAGGTCTACCACAGGCGTCTACATGTCAGGACGTCAGGTGTGAATGAAGCAGGTCTACCACAGGGGTCTATACATCAGGACACCAGTGTGGATTAAGCAGGTCTACATAGGGGCCTACACGTCAGGATGCTGGGTGTGAATTAAGTAGGTCTCCACAGGGGTCTACAGGTCAGGATGCCTGTTGTCACTTAAGTAGGTCTACACAGGGGTCTGTACATCAGGACACCCAGTGTGGATTAAGTAGGTCTACACAGAAGTCTACACGTCACGACACCTGGTGTGAATTAAGTAGGTCTACACAGCGGTCTACACGTCAGGATGCCTGGTGTGAATTAAGTAGGTCTACACAGCAGTCTACACGTCAGGACACCTGGTGTGAATTAAGTAGGTCTACACAGGAATCTATACATCAGGAAACCTGGTGTGGATTAAGTAGGTCTACACAGGGGTGTATACATCAGGACACCCGGTGTCAATTAAGTAGGTCTACACAGGAGTCTACACACCAGGACTCTGTGACACGGTCACCCAAGAGTGAATTAAGTAGGTCTCCACGGGGTTTACACATCAGGACACCCAGTGTGAATTAAGTGCGTCTACATAAGAGTCTACATGACAGGACACTGGGTGTGAATTAAGAAGGTCTCCACAGGGAGTCTACACATCAGGGTGCCCGGTGTCAATTAAGTAGGTCTACACAGGAGTCTATACATCAGGACACCTGGTGTGGATTAAGTAGGTCTACACAGGGGTCTACAAGTCAGGACATCTGGTGTGGATTAAGTAGGTCTATCACAGAAGTCTATACGTCAGGACACCTGATGTGAATTAAGTAGGTCTACACAGGGGTTTACACGTCAGGACACCCAGTGTGAATTACGTAGGTCTCCACAGGGGTCTACACGTCAGGACGCCCAGGGTGAATTAAGTGTGTTTGCATGTAAGGACACACGTGTGAATTGTGGGCCACCACATGCGTCCCCGAGTGCAGCTCGGCCATGCGTGTGCCTGTGTTTGGCGCATCCATTTTGAAGGACAATGAAGATAAAATGGAGTCTGAACACAGGCACATGCGTTCCACATTATCTGGAAAGCACAGTTTACCCCGTGTTTAACGGCAGCAGCTAAATTTCCACCCTATTCTTAAGATCCGTTTCCAGGTCACTCTCTGAACGTGGGAAATGTGTGTGCACTTCCACGTTCCCGTCCATGGAAAGAAACATGCTCCGTTTAGACCGCGGCACTCTGCTCACGCTTCCTACGCTTGCCTGGGCTGCACCTCCTGAACAAGCTCAAAGACCTCCCCGGGTTCTGCATCTGGCCTGCGTTTGTTGGCTCTTTCTCCAGGGTGGCTGGTATCGTTTCTACCTTACCGGTGCTGAGACTCTGGCCAGGGTGGCCCACGACAAGCACATGGCCAGACGCCTCAGAAGTGGGAGCTGGGTGGGGTTTGGATCCTGGACTTCAGAACTGCGCTGCCTCTGTGACACGGCTGCCCAAGAGTGGAGACACTGCGCTGTGAGCCCTGGCCAGGTGGAAAGCCTTCTGTGGGTGGTCACCGGGAGGGAGAGTGCGGCACCCTTGGTGAGGTCCTGATCCGAAGCCTTTGCTAGGGGTGGCTGGTGGCCGTGACAGCAGGGCCAGGAGCAGAGCTGGTCTTTGAAACTGAGAAGCACTAACACCCCCTGGCAACTGCTTTTTAGACACATCGTGGACACTCAGACCCGAGTTACCTTGGACGAGACGATCCTGTTGTCTGGGTATCTCTGTGGGATGTAGGCCTCTGCGCCCGGAGGTGGCTCCCTGTGTCCCACGTAGATGGTCCTGCTGTCCACCCAATTCTCTTCTCCTGCACACTGCAGAAAGGAGAGCGGTGTTAGGCCGCTGCCTCAGAACCCGCATCAAAGGCTCTTGCCCAGAGTGTTGCCTTGAGGCACGTTCGTCGGAACAGAGACTTGCACCTGCTGCTGACAGCACTGCTCAGGGCTGCGGGGAGACCTGGGCCCTAGCACCCGGGACCGAGCCACCCTGTCTTACGCAGCCCTCCTGGGCCAAGGTCTTCTGGTGAGCACCAGGAGGGTGTGCGCTCCTGTGAGAGCCACACAGTGAACTCCAAAGCTGACTGCCAGTGGCAACGGCTCAGGGCGTGCACATAAGAACAGAATGCATGGCCAAATCGTAAGGCTTCCAAAACAGAAGAGACAGTGATGCTGGGAAAGGTCTTTAATGGCAGAAGAAAGAAAAACTAGGATATTGGGGTAGAAGGCAGGACTCGACTCCAGGGGTGGGGCTTGGACACCAGACCAGATTGAGGACTAGTGAAAACAGGGCTGGGGCAGAGGCAGTTTTCCATAAGACATGCCTGCCGTGTGCCTGTCGGTTTAGCATTGCCATGGCAACAGCCAGGAGCCACCGCCCCTTTCCATGGCAATGACCTGATTGCCTGGAAGTCACATCCTTCTAGAAATTTCTGCATAAACCACCCCTTAATCTGCATGCAATTAAACTTGCCCTGAGCTACTCCTCTCTGCCTATAGGGCAGTGCCGCTCTGCAAGGGCAGTCAGGGAGCTGTAGCCCTGCCTCTTCAATAAAGCTGTTTTCTTCCCCCTCCTGCTCCTGCTTGCCCTTGAATTCTTTCCTGGGCAAAGCCAAGAACACTCCAGGTTCTTGCCCCACTGTGGGGTCACCGGCCCTGCATTTGCACATGTAGAAGAGTCACTCAACCCTTCCGGGTGTCTGCTCAGGAACAGGAAGGCTCTCCTGCAAAGATGACTTGGGCCTGACCATCTGTATTACTCAGAACACTGTATTTGGAGGAGTCAAGGAAACAGCTCTGACAAGAAATATTTCAACAACACTCAGGCGGGCCATTTGATGTCAGCACGAAAACCACAAAAATACCTTAGCTCATAATGAGAAATCCAAATGCCACATCTGAATACGCAGCCCTGGCCATGGCCCCAGCCTACCTCAGAATGCACGGTCCCAGCACATGGTCCCAGGCCCGCCTCAGAATACGTGGTCCCGGCACATGGCCCCGGGCCCGCCTCAGAATACGTGGTCCTGGTGCATGGCCCCGGGCCCGCCTCAGAATACATGGCCTTAGCATGTGGCTCTCGTCCCACACCCCACTTCTCTGAAGGAACTGCAAGACACTAGCCTTTCTGGGGCATGAGAAACACAGCTGAAGAGGAGACGGAAGCCTCCTCCGCGAAGGGAACGCCGGTGCGATGTGACGGGAAGGACGAGTGGGCACTGTCGTCGACGGGCTGACCGTTGGCTGCTGGGCCACTCCTCGCCGCAGGCACGGCGACAGTTTCCCACTGGGCTTCTCACCCATGAGGGGGATGCCAGCACTTTCTCAGGGTCCTGGAGCATGAAATGAGGCAACAGGAACAGAACATGGCCAGGGGTCTGGCCCAGCACAGCTGCCTATGAACGCTTGGGGCGACTCCTCTCTGTGTGGGCTGCCCCTTGGTGCTTCAGGGAACTCTTGTTTTTTAAAGCCAAAAAAGGCAGACAAGGCCTGAACAGTCTGGAGTCCCTGTCTGCATGGTGCTCTCGTTTATAAACCCCACGCTGGCTGTTTTTGGTCTTGTTTATGTAATCAGCTCCTCTGCTCCTCTAACGTCCTTTCAGAGGAAGCCCTTCCACACCGTCCCACCCAGACGTCCCGGACAGGAGCTGTGTGAATGTCCACACATTTGCTGTAATAAAGTCCATCAGCAGGTAATTCACTTCCAATTTCTTTTATTAGGACTCAGCTTTGCAGAACAGTCTAAGTAAAATAAAGGCAAGAGATCACAGCAGTCCCCGTGTGCCCCAACTGTGTTTTCAGAGATGTTCGGCTGAGACTATGAACCAGCGTTTCCACGGGGAGCCGAGGCTTCCACGCTTCTGGGGACAGACGTACACAAGGCAGCCACCAGGCCAGTGAGGAGCACTCCACCCTCAAATGAGCCAGAGGCAGTTTTCCTCCGTGCGACCTTGGGTTGTGGCCTCCCCGCGAGCCTGCTGGCCATGCAGTAACTGTCATCCTAGACTCAAAGCCAGGTGGGCAGCGCAGCCCCACTGCCCTGACCACGCCACAGTCTGGCTGCCCCTCCCCACAAGGACAGGCCCTCCTCCTCGGGACTGGGTCTCCCTGCCTGACGGGGGTCTTCCCAGCTGCCTCTATTTTGTGGTGAAGTCAACAAACCTAAGGGATGCAGGGATGTGGACTTTAAAAGCATCTTAAGAGTTTCATAAATAAACTGCTGCCTATAAAGGCTAAGAAAAGACCCTGGCTCCTTTGTTTTCTCAGAACACAGCCAAACAGATGCTTCTCATTCTCGTGGAATCAGGAAATTGCACTGAATAAGAATATAAGTGAACCAGAAAAAGAGAGAAGAGCATACAGGTATCTTTTAATACAAAAGTAAAAATCCTAGAAACTTTCTTCTAAGCTTCAAAGACAGCAAATGAATTTCAGGAGTGGCCATGAGCCCAGACACTGGCTCTGAAAGCTGAACGCTTTCCTGGAGCCGTGTGGCATCGCCCACGCCACGGCGAGCTCACGCTGCCCGGACGCTTCCAGGCAGCAACAAAGGGACCCTGTCTCATGGAGGTACGATCAGGATGCATGAAGTCCACTCCATATTCTCAACAGTGCCGAGCAGACGTTTATCGTTAAATAATTACATCAAAAACAACTCAAATACAGCCCAACAGTGTAGTGGCGTTTAAACCGACACAAGTAGGAATGACTATTTTTGTCTGTGCCATGACATCACAAAATCAGCTGCCAACATGCAGTGGGCCTTGCCTGGCAAGTGGGCTGCTTGCCTGACAGCCTTGTCAGCATTAACAGATACCAGACTGGATCAGGAAAGGACCTGAGGCCATGAGGTCACTTAGATGGCCTCACCCAGGGCATCAGGAAGGTCAGAAACCTAAGTGTCTCTTCGGGTTCACACTTCGAACCAAAGGGAGCTCTTTGTGTTACATTCTCCACAAATGTTCACATTTTTTTTTTTTCAAAGTGAAAGCAAGTTTATTACAAAACTAAACGAATAAAAGAACGGCTACTCCATAGACAGAGCAGCCCACAAATGTTCAAATTCTAGGAAGACTAAACTGACCAAAAGGAACAGAGCCGAAAATATGCTGGACCCCCAGAGGATGTAGACACAATCCCAAACGGCGGCCTGGGGACGGGGCGCCCGGTCCCTGCTGCTCACTGGCTCTGTGGCTGTGGCTGCATCACACCACGTGTCTCTGTCAAATGTCGTCAGCAGCGACATGAAGGGATTAGGAGGGCCAACCTTCGTGGTCCTCCCAGCCCTAAGATTCTGGTTCTCTGTACAGTTAGCAACAAAAACAAATTCAGGAGCCCTAGTCATGTAACTTTTGAACCTCACCAGTCTTGAACCCAGGGCCAGACATGCTATGCATAAATGGCGGCACAGACAAAACAGGGTCCCCACCAGGCACAGTGGTTCATGTCTGTAATTCCAGCACTTTGGGAAGCTGAGGCAGGCAGATCGCTTGAGGCCAGGAGTTCAAGACCAGCCTGGCTAACATGGTAAAACTCCATCTCTACTTAAAAAAAAAAAAAAGAAAAAGAAAAAATTAGCTGGGCATGGGGGCGCCTGTAGTCCTAGCTACTCGGGAGGCTGAAGCAGGAGAATCGCTCGAACCCCAAGGTGGAGGCTGCAGTGACAAGATGGCTCCACTGCTCTCCAGCTTGGATGACAGAGCGAGGCTCCGTCTCAAACAAACAAACAAGCAAACAAAAAACGGGGTCACACCACACAGGGTTTTTTTCAGGATTCAGAGTAAAGACACAGGTAGTCAGGAAGCTCTCCAGGGCAAGAGGATGGAGACCCCAGCCTCTCTCTGTTCCCACACAGCTCAGTCAGCCCCACAGCCAGAGGCTTCCATCAGCAAAGCAAAGTTGAAACCAGGCATCAAACTGTCTGTGTCAAGTAGCAGGTTTCCTAACGACTCATTAACAACCCATTGTCCAAATGGCATCAGAAAGCCACGTGGCATGTCCCCTGGAGGGCTGGCATCAAGTTCCAGCTGAAGTAAAAATCTACCCTGTGCTGATGGGACTGACCAGAGGACACAAACTGACCAAGGGAAACATCTCGAGCAACTCCAGGAGGGGCACAAAAAATTCGGCGAGAAGGTTCACAGCTGCACTCTTCAAGCAAGACAAAGGTGGCAGCCTCCAAATGCGCGTCCACTGACGAAGGGACACACGGAAGGGAAGGAAGCGCTGACACCCACACCAACACACGTGGGGCCAGAAAGCATCCCGCGTGTGAAGCAACACCGTGTTGTGAGTCCATTCTGATGAAATGCCCAGAAAAGGTGAACGCAGGGACGGGGGCTGACGGGGGTGTGGGGGGGCTGTCGGGGGCTGGGCGAATGGCTGCCCAGGGGATGAAAAACTTCTGGGTTGGAGGGTGGTGGTAGTTGCTGATGGCCCCTGCCCGGCGGGTGAAAACCTTCTGGGTTAGGGGGAGGTGGTGGGTGCATGACTGAATATTTTCCAGTTGGAACCAACGGATTGCATGCTTTAAAAGGGAGGATTTTAAGGTATGTGAAATATACCTCAGTAAAAATGTTATATTTTCTTTTTAACGAGACAGAGTTTTGCTCTCATCACCCAGGCTGGAGGGCAGTGGCAAAACCTCGGCTCACTGCAAACTGCACTTCCAGGTTTAAGCAATACTCTTGCCTCAGCCTCCCTAGTAGCTGGGATTACAGGCAAGCACCACCACGTCCAGCTAATTTTGTATTTTTAGTAGAAATGGTGTTTCACCGTGTTGGCCAGGCTGGCCTCGAACTCCTGACCTCAGGTGATCC